TATTATATCCATGTTGTGTGTAAAACGGTATGACCATCATCTACTTGCCGACAGACCGCATGATGGAAGAAGGTTACCTATTAATTTAATTTGATATATATATACATAGCTATCAATAGGTAAACTTCTATCTCGGCCATGCGGTCTGTTGGCAAATGCAATGTTCATATTTTTTAAAATACAATATGGATATAATAAAGAATTGATTTAATACTAACAGAATTGCTGATGATAGAGAAAATTCCCGATACATTCAATTAAATGTTAATAAATAACGTATTTACTTTATTCTTTAAAAAATGGAAATGTCTGACATTAACCCATTAATTTGAATAAGACATGAGCTTTAAAAATTCCATGTTTTCAATCAAACAACTTTAAAATACTTGTTCCGTAACAAATGGATCAATTATTTTATTCGAGTTAATGTAATTATTGTTCAATTGTTATATGAAAGTTTTGAAATTAGACAATTCAAATAAATATCTATTATTTTCCTAAAATATTTAAAGAAATTCAAGTTGATAGTTACGTCATTCTTGTGTATAACTGGAAAATATATAGCAAAATTGTAAATCGTTAAAAAAAAGTCTGAGAATAAAACGTAAGAATTAATTAAGAAAATTGATTAAATAGCATTTAAATGAAATTTTACATTTTAAAGAAACACTAAATTCAGCTACGCATGTTTAACAAGTACTAAAAATTAATTAAATATTCGTTCCCTTGTATTTTTTAGATGAGGCAAGAGAAAAAATCGTGTTCCTCCACTGTTGCTATCCCGAGTTGATAATGCACAATGTTTAGCAATATTCATTTTAAAAATTAAATATTTACTATCCTCGTATTTAATGAATCAACAGTACAACAAAATTAACTTATTTACGAGTTGGGAATCATTATACTGAAATATTAAAAGGACTACATGAATTGTTTAACCTTTTGAACTTTTAAAGTTACAGAAAGAAATAGACAACCGGTTCGCTTAACTACGTTTATTTTGTAAGAGAAAATGAAGGAATCAAACGTTTTCCTTATTTAATCTAGAAATACAATGTTGGGATTAGCAGAACAATTTTTCCACAATTCAACATACAATAACTAATAACTATAAATTTTTTACAAGTAAATAAAAAAAATTATGTAAAATATTTCAAGGGCATAATTGCAAATAACTACATAATTAATCATTTTAAAACGCGAACTAAGGATAAAAATTAAAATCAAATTATTAGGGGAAAAAAACGACAAATTAAAGTTAGATTGTTTGGATCTGATTATAATTATGTTTTTTAACTAACTTTTAATTTTCAACAAGGTTCCATCAACTTTATTGTTTCAATTTTCCTATTAGGATAAAAAATTAACTTATTTTAAACGTAATTAACCCGTAAGTGCAATGTATATTTGTACTCTTTTAAAATGAAGTTTGACCCATTTGTGGGTATGTAAATTGCGTAAAAAATATTATTTAATGGTTCTTAAAAATTGAATTAACCGAAAACCTAGAAAGTGTTCGTGAATGTAATAATATTCAAAAAGTTCAGTATACAATGAACAAGATTTATTGAATCAACCAACCTTGAAAAAAGAATCATTTCCTCGTTTACAGCCTTTCTTTTAAACTATTTCTCCATTTTTAGTTTTGAAAAAAAAACTTTATAACCATACAAATTAAGCACAACATGTAATTAGATAATATTAACAAGTACAGTGTAATTTTAGTTTTTAACGAGCTAAAAAGTCGAGACGAACGGTTTTCTTAGTATACTTCAAAACAAAAGAAACCTAGCGTTAGGTTACTAAATATGTCAAAGGAAACGCTATATTTGTTTCAACTTTACAATACACGAAGTGTAACCTTAATTAAAGAAAGGTTCTGTTTGAAGAAGGAACGAAAAAAAGGTCTTTTTAGGACATAAAGGACGCCAGGAGGACGGCTACTGGGAGTTCATTAGGTTCAATCGACGTTCTCCCCGTTCCATGCCCTACTAACATTGTGCGATATAACAAAGTGTTTATTAGTGTCCAAAAGCCGAAAGAATTCGCGGTTAAGCGATATTTTATAACATATTTTTTATACTATCATCTCATTTTAATTAAAGACTTAACAGATTGATAAAATTGGTGCCAAAATAATAGGAGGCAGGGGTAAACAAATTGATTTATTATACGTGAACCAGTCTAAAAAGAACAGAAATGTAACACCTAACAATACGTTTCGTATCTAAAAATTTTCAAAAAAAAAAATTAAATCAATTGCACCGATTATGCATCTAGAGCAGACAATGACCCTCAAAACTTTAAAACAACGTTAACATTCCACAAATAAATAGAAAGTTAATTAAATTAAACACAAAAATTTTGAAATCGGAAAAAAAGAAAAAGTATGTTATATTTACATTTATGCAAAAAATTAATTAATTAAAATTAATATTTTATAAAAATTAAAAATATATTAATTAACATATCTTTGAAATCTTGTTCAACTCAAGTACAATTTACGAAAATGTTTTAACATGGTTCAATTTGAAAGATTAAAACATTACATTTGAGAAGAAGCCATTACTAGATTGCGACATTCACAAAAGCAGATATTTCATACTTTTTAAAAACATTACATTGTTAATATATACGGACAACTGATGTGACATGAGCTTTTTATTGTTGAAATTTTACGTAGATAAGGGGGAAATTCGAGAGATAAAATTGAAATGAATGAAGCCATTTATTTCAATAAACACGATTCTTCTCGGGAAAGCTGGAAAAATTTATTTCGTATAATTTCTCTAGAATAAAAAAGGAATTATTGTTAATCCATTCTGTATATCGACTCTGAGGGGGAAAACAAATCGTTACCGCTCGTCAGAATCTGCTGAATCTATTTTGAAAGCTAAGTTCCTAGACAACTCTTTAACGGGAATTAGACCTTATTTACAAAATCATACTAAAAAACGTAATTATTGAGTTTTTGGTACAACACTACACGTTAAAAAGTTTACATTCCGAATAATTTTAATACAAAATGTACTAACAAATTAAGCAAAAAATACCTAAATAATTGGCAAGTATAGGTTAAAATAGATACATAAGTTAAAGTATAGATATATAAGTGTATCACATTAAATTCCTTTTAAAAAGTCGCAAAGTTTTAGCGTTCCCTTGAATAATGTAAACGTTTCGAAAAAAGTACTTACCGAAGTAAAATCGAAGATTTTTATATGACAAGTCGATAGTTCTCTTTATTGAACCTCTTTATTGAACTAAATATTACGAGAATGTCGAAAAGTTTAATTTTATTACGCAAAATAACTATAGTATATAAATAAAACCTAATAAGTTTTAAATAACAAATTTGTATTAAAAATAACTTTTTAGTCATAAGAAATCAAATATCCATGACTATGGCAGAGGTTAGACATACAGTAAATATTGTTCCCATGTTATTTCACTATAGACAAATAATTACATTTTCTAGATTTCAGTTATTGATGACTATCAGCATTTAAGTGAACTTGAACGAAATATGAAATAATTGTTCCACGATTAATTACATTTTCTAGATTTCAGTTATTGATGACTATCAGCATTTAAGTGAACTTGAACGAAATATGAAATAATTGTTCCACGATTTTCGTCAGATCCTTAAGTGAACATCCCAACAATATATCTAAAATCCTGTTTTTAGACGATTAGAACGGAGTACGAGAATAAGGTTAAGCCAAGTGTTACATCAATAGTCATTCTGGTTGATAGCAAAGTAAACATTTCCCATGAGAGAACATACTATGTTCTCTATTGCATGTTAAAAAACGTAATTTTTGAGTTTTTGGTATAACACTACACGTTAAAAACTCTACAATCCGAACAATTTTAATACATAATGTACGAACAAATTAAGCTAGAAATGCTCAAATAATTAGCAAATATATGTTAAACTAGATACATAAATTATAAGTAAATAGATATATAAGTGTATCAAATTAATCCCTTTTAAAAAGTCGGAAAGTTTTAGCGCTCCATTGAATATATAACAAATACAGACTAACGGTATTAAAAATGTATTCCTCAGGTTTTTTCCCCAACTCGAAAAAAATATTTAACAAGATTTAATGACAAAGATATTTTCTTACATCGTTAGTTTCTAATAAAATTTAAAGTGGATCTCATGTTAAATACCAGAAATGTTTATCAATTAAGGTGTATCATTAATGTTGTTCAAATGAATTCAATCGAAAAAAAACATTGTCTCACTACAGGAGATAAACCAATAATTTTCAAAGCATGTTAAAAAAATAATTCAAGTTCCCGCTGTAAAAAAGTATATGAATCATAATTTTACGGTTCAAATAAATTGAAGGTATTAATATTTTTACATATTTTATTTAACGATTGATATTAGAATTGTTCTCTCATTAATTCATTTTTTTTAATCAATTAAAGTTTATCGTCTATACTATAAACGTTAACCCATTTGCAAAAAAAAATCATCTTAGTAAATTAAATTTATGGGGTAAACCAACCACTTTTCAGGCGTGTTCAAACAAATAATTCAAGTTCTGACCATAAATAATGTAACAATGATAAATTACGACTCTAATGTAATTTTTAATACGTAACTATCATAACTTAACGTTTTTGAACATTTAATTCCTCCGTATATCAGGGTTTTTTTGGTCAATCAGAGAAAATATAAATAAATGAAAGTAGATATAATGCCAAATAAATACCATTAAATGGTATTTAAAATGTTTTACGTACAATTTGATATTTAAATTTGAAATTTTAGATTGTCCCTTAATTTTTTTTTCATTGGCTGTTAAGTTCATTAGTAAAAAAGTAAATCTTACATGAATAGGACTTTCATTTTTGTACAACTACTATAGTTTTTAATTATTTAAGCACGAACCGGCTTGTTCTTACTTTTTTCGGAAATGTCTGCCATGGAGTGTAATAAGGGAAGCCACTGGATGTGATGATAATGGAAGAAACAAGCATACCTCTTTTTGTTGGAGAAGCGGCAATACGCCTCGAGATCGGGTCCAGCCAAGACAGATGCAGTGTGCAAACGAGTATCCAGAGTCGCATGGTCCGTCAGTGTCCGGTGTCATGTCTGGCCATCTAGACTTTTATGGAGAAAAGAGGGCTGGCCATTCCTCTCTTCTTATAAAATCTCCGATTTTGGCTTTTTCGAAATGGCACCTATCGCTTTTTGATCTTCGCCTCTCGCACTTCCTCCCTCTCTCTCTTTCTCTCTCTCTCTCTTGACTCCTGGAGATTTTGGGGGGTGGGGGACCTGGGCTAAACGCACACCTCACGCCGTCTGTGGCCAGTCAATATCTGAGGGCGGGATGAGAGCGAGGAGCGCCCTCTGCCCAGGGATGGCACCCCCCGGGTGGTTCAGCTAACCGCTCCCAGGGGCGGCACCTCCCGCCGCCGGGGCCGGGACGCCACCCCTTGACCTGTTAACCCCCAAACCGAACTGTTACAAATGTTACAATCCTACCCATAAATCATCTTCAGACGTTTCTATACAAATTTCCAATTAGAATTTTGAAAAAAATATTAAAACACGAAAATTAATTCACAACTTTACAGTATCATTTGCTTGAAAAATTAAACGTAAGCGATAAATTTTCTACTGACTGACGAGATTTCTTTAGTCTGAAACTTCATGTACATCTTCGCAGACACACATCAACTTCATATCTGAGCTAATTTGTTAATTCAGTAATCGAATGAAAATACTCTCAATTTATATCAAGTAATAGACAGCCAACAATCAACTTCAACAATCAAGTTTTCTTCCCTTGTCTCGCCCTGGGGGAACCGCCTTAGTGATCACGGTAACCACGTACCATACCAGGTAACTATTAGAGAAACCTCAAAAGAATTTGTCCCGCCACAGTATGATATTTTGCTAGGGTCCCACAAGGTTCAGTCCTAGGACCAACCTTGTCCAACGTAATATATTTATATAAATACAATATATAAATTATATATAAAAATATAATATATAAAATATAATACATAAATGCACTCCTCGTAAATATTTTTTTAAGATTAACACAAAAAGTCATCTAACAATAAGCACTCCTATAAACTACATCATGAAATGTTAAATGTCCCTTACATTAAGGATGATATTAAAAGGTTAACCAGCTCCTTTTTTTACATAGCGTTGAGAGTATAAATAGTAAAGAACATAGGGAACAATAACCTCTCCAAAAATTGGAAACATAGACGGATCAAACACATCTTGATAAAAGCCTTTTGTAGTTATTTAATTACTTAATTGTTAAAATATTTATCTATTTAATTATTTATGTATTTATCTATTTTTTAAAGTAAATATTATTTATTCGTTTTAGAAATTGTAATAATATTCTACTCAAACAAATGCGTTGTGTTCTTAAACCGGTTTACAAAAATATTATTTTATTTAATCTTATAGTTTTTTTTTTCTTCTTTATCGCCACTGTTTAATTAGGCAAACTTAATCTATTTGGAAGCATATTTAAACTCCTCAGGCACTAGGAAACAATGGGCCTAGTCATATTCCCCGACAAGACCCTTGTACTTACGTTTTACACATCTATGTATGATATTATGTATTAAAAAAACTCAATCTTCAGACCGGACTTGAAGACACTCCCATGACCCGATAATGCGTAAAACTTAAACAGTATTTGCCAAGTTTTACTTTGCGAGTACCATTGTTAATAATGTAAGATATGTATTAGCCCTTAATTTGGTTATAGTATGTATCAGACACACACCTATGTTATAAACATTATTGTCTTTTGCCTCATAAAAGTTTTACTATTAGAACCTAAAACACTTAGGACATTTTCGATATTTTGGACAATGATACCAACAAAATCAAAATAATTCCATTTTATAATTTTGTACCAATTTTAATTAATTACTGTATTGAGATGTTACTTTTTGCTTTTTTTTAAATCAAAAATCTACTCAATTTTAAATAGCCCTTCCATTTTTATAAATGCTGTTTAGAGATATACCGTCCAGGTTTGAATTGCCAATTACACGTTTCTCAAAAGAGACATTTTATACGAGAAAGGCTGAGGGAGAAAATTAAGGAAAGATCAAAAAGAAAAAATAACGCCTCTAAGAACATGACATCAACGTGTAGCATGGGGATTTTATTATGTATGATAATGAATATGATGATGAATAATTATTCAGAAATCGTGAGATGCGGTCTGGTGTGATGTAGGTTTCAGAAAAACAGTTTCTGTTGTTGTTAAATGTAAACAATATTTGTAAATCCCAGGCCCTGAATATAATCTCAATAAAGATCGAAACGTTGGCACGATAAAGAAAATGTTTTTCTGAAACCTACATCACACCAGATTGCATCCCACGATTTCTGAATAATCATCGACTAACGGTCACTAAACACCACACATGATGATGAATATTAGTAGAAATAACTTTTATAACAAATCGTAGTTAATTGCAATTGCTGTTGTTACTAGGTAGATCAATCATGGACTTTGACCCGATTATTCTCGTTGTTTAATATTTATGCAAGATGAAAACAATTCATAGAATGGCAGACTTAATATAAATAATAAAGTTTTGAAAAGTTGAGAAAGCATTATATCATTCAGTCAATTAACTTTATTGCATAGAAAGCCGTGCCTAGATTTCGTAATAAAGTAGTTGCCTTTATTAAGCTTGGCTTGCATTTCGTTACTTCATTCCAGACTTTAATATCCAAAATTGACGAAGGAGCTTACTGTAAAACTGCATTTATTAAGATATACAAAATAAATATCCTTAAAGATTTTTTAAAGTATACCTCTATCGTTGATGTAAAACTAAATTTTTTCCATACAATCTATTTATCTATTTATGTTGAAAATAGTAAGAATAATAAGATTCATTTCAGTGTTGTAAATGTATTTAATATTAGGAAAACTACTCTTATATTGAGTATTGTTAAAAGGTTCTATTTACTCGTAAAACAAAGATTTCTCTTTTATTAACTTTGTTCTGCAAGTTTTTGCTATGGGCCTTAAATGAACTTTTTAGCATGCCTATGTCCTAGCATACATTCCCATATAACGGACTTATTTTTAACCTACTGGCCGACGTTGTTGGCAATTTGGTATGACATAAAAGGGGTCAGGGCCGGTAGTTTTCTTGTCTCAACTTTCATGTCCAATTATTCATTTTTGCAGAATGCCAAAAACTTAATTTTTAAGTTAGAAAAAACTTACGAAAAAATAGAAATATGTTTATATGAAAGAATCAATATACTTAATCGTTAGTTACTTATTTAGAAAATTAAATAAGTACTTAATCCGCTATAAATATGAATAATGCAGCATGTTGTACAAAATATCAGCAATGAATTATTTGTATAAAATCACTCAAAAACAAAAAATCGGACACCGGACGTATTTTGTACTTTATTTCAAACAATATGAATTTTTACATTATATTAATTAATTACAACATACTTATTTTAATATAAACCAAACTAAACAAAATCCGAAATTCATGAGTTTTAATCAAAAATATTTAATTATAATGATTTGATATTAAATAACAAAACTAACGGAAAATCATTAAGCAACAAAATAAATTTAACTAACAATTTATTACTTTTTTTGCATTAAGAGAAAAACTAGGTAAGAAATTATTAGGTTAAAGTTTTGGTGAATATTCTTTCAAACCTTTAATTTTCAAAAATTAAATAATTTTTATTAAAACTCATGACTTTCTGATCTAGTATAATTTGATTTACATAAACATAAGTATGTTGTAATTATTATAACGATAAAGATACATATAGTTTAAAATATACAACAAAATACGAGTGTCCGGTGTTTTACCTTTGAGTATATTTATAAAAAAATATATATTTATATAATAAATTTTATTTTATTTAACTGATTCAGATTCAATAGGAATGTAGTTGTGACAAAAGCGTAATTATTTAAACAAAACCAGTGAAATGTTTGTTTCTGATTTCAGCAAAAGGCTGCGCTCCTGTCATGCTCCGGACATGCTTGCCTGTAGCCTGTTATGAAGCTTCAAAAATAACCTACCGGTTTTTCCCGAATTTGTATACTTAGCTAAAGGTTTAAGACTGACTGGTAGCTAGATTGTAAGTAGTGTTTTATGCTGGTTGAATCTAATTGACATGACGGTTTCGTTAAATTCTGCAACATCTGGGATTCCTGATAAACTATGGCAGCCCAAATATGCTGTATTTGGTACCACGTGAGTATTACCATAGTAGACAGAAATTTTGAACCATCATTTTCATTATTATTGATAATATCTTTAACAGTATGGGAGAAATGACAGTCGAACTGTATTGGAAGCATGCCCCGACGACATGCCGCAACTTTGCCGAACTCACCCGCAGGGGCTATTACAACGGGACCAAGTTCCACCGGATCATTAGAGATTTCATGATTCAAGGTTAATCATCATGGTATGACAGTGCAAGTGATAACTTTTCAAATACATGTTTATGGTATTGTCTTAACAGGAGGCGACCCTACAGGCACAGGTAAAGGAGGAACATCGATTTATGGGCGTACGTTTGCAGATGAAATCCATGAAGACCTTAAGCACACAGGTACAATCATCCTGACAATATATATTTTTGAAAAGTACCTTATTTTTGGGGTATTATTTAGGTGCTGGTGTGCTTTCAATGGCCAACTCTGGCCCAGATACAAATGGATCACAATTCTTTATAACACTTGCTCCAACGCAATGGCTTGATGGGAAACACACAATATTTGGTAAATAAAAATACATAAATTCTTCATGAATTTTTTAATTTTTCCTTATTCAATATTGTAGGTCGAATACATTCAGGGATGAATGTTGTTAAACGAATTGGATTAGTTGAAACAGATAAAAATGACAGGCCTGTTGATGATGTGAAAATAGTACGAGCTTATATAAGAATGAATTGAATGTTGCTTCTTTTTTTTTTCTTTTTTTTTTTTTTGTGTGTTTGTAATAATTTTTGTACTACATATTTTAAGAATACGCAATTATATATTAAGTTTTTAACTTGTGTGTTTCAATTAGAAAAAGATTGTACTCCCTTTAATTTAAAATTAACACATCCTCTTTTGGGTTAAACAGCTTCCTTTTCTTGACCGAAGGGAATTTCACTCTTTCTTTCTGTACCTGTTTATGGATCTCGACCTGTTTGGAAATAGACGAGGCAATTTCAGATGTCGATGAGACACCGATCGATTGAATTGTGACCACCGGGACTGGGACAGTATGACACTGGCTGGATTTCATGGCCTATAGAAGGAACAGTGTTAAAATACTAAAATAAATTTGATTTACTACACAGGATAAACCTTATTGCTTCCATTCTGCTGCAAATTTTTAATTTCTAACTGTGCTGCTGCTAAATCTTCATTTAATTTTCCAATAGTTTTTTCGTACTAATCAATTGTTGAAAAAAAAAAAAAAGTTAGAATGCTCACAAATTTTGAATAGCAACATTTAAAAAGTTTACTTTTTCTGAGTTAGTAGATAAAGCTTGCTTGTAATAGTTCACATCGTTACGATGCTGATGCTGTTCATAATTGAAACGAGCTTTGCTTTCTTCTTTAACCTTATGCAGTTCAGCCTTCAACTCTTCAACTAAACAGTCTTTTAGTTACTGCTCCAGCAGAAAATATTGTAATGCATATATCTACCTTGCTTAGTTAGAGTTTTGTCTGAAAAAACTGTTGTTGGACCAGCTTTTAGAAAAGATTGTTTTTCCAAATTCCAGGCATTTAAATCACATTCCCTCTCCTATCCCATTAATCAAAATAGAATTACTGTGCAAATATAAATTTCAAAAATGAGCAATACCTTTTTAATTTTTGCAATTTCTGAATCTAGAGCCTCCTTTTCTTTTAAAAGGGCCGAGTATTTATCTACAAATTAATTTAAATAATATTATTCTGCATCATTTAAGTATGCAAGATATATGAAACCTTGATTTGTTATTTAAAAAAGAAAATTGGTTTATTGATGTAAAAAATATTTGTTTAGAAAGATTTAAAATATATGTGTGGTATGTTTTTGTGTATTTTCTTTGATTTGGTACACAATTGATGGGGCCCTGATGTATACATAGGCTAGCAATAGGACAAAGAAAAGAGAGAGTTAGTTATCGCTGAACTACAAAATATCGTAACATAGCTGGAGAAACAGAAAAAGAAATTAGTAGGTTTATAACACAAGAAAGATAAGAAAAGAAATGTGCAGCTAAGGAAGAGAGGCCTGGTGATGTCCGATTAAGTTTGCCGGCCCTAAAAGTAAAAACAAGTCCCTAAGATTGTTCCTTTTTATTTAATTCATAATAGGGTTTATTTTAGATTGAGATGTGTTCCTTTTTAACACATAATATGGAAACAATGATTTTAATTTGGATAATATTTTAATTTTGTACTAAAAATCATGGAGAAGGCTAGTTATCATAAAGACAAATACATACTAAGTTCTTTCATCTAGCTTTTAAGGAATATATCCGATTCACTTTTTTTGTTTCTTTTTTGCTTCACATTGTTTTATATTGTTTAGAGGTTCATAGCATGTTTTTTTTCTTTTTTTTTTCTAAAATAGTTTTTGACACTATTTTATTTACTATTTATTTGACCAAGAACCAGGCAGCAGCTCTAAATGAGGCTACAGGGAGGTACACACTTTTGTAAACTGTTGACAGTGCTTTAGACCCTATACCCCATTTTGCTGTACTGGATCTAATTTTACCTTTTCACACGATTTGATTCACTTTCCTTCGATTCAGATTATTGGGTGTGTATTTAATTGGTATTTCATGATCAATGTATAGCGTTAATGAGACAACATGCTGCATTTTCCCCTTAACAGTATTTTTATATGACACTGTAATCCTTTTTCAGTCAAATTTCAACCTTACTATGTTTCTGCTTTTCACATTCAGATTGTATCATATCTTGTTAAATTCAATTTTTATTTCTGTCTGGGCTTTCATCATCAATAAACATTTTTATAGCTGATTATCTTCAGCATTTGTTTTAATAAATGATAAATTGGCCAATGCTGTTGTAAGATACAATTTATAACTTCATACTTATGAAGCAAGAATGAAAAACATTTTGTTTTCAGACAACCAATGTTGTTTTGCTACAATATGACAGACGGTGAAATATGCAAGATACAAGCATTATTTATTGTTTATTTTGACTACGATATCTTCTAATTACCTGTTCCTAATGGAGAAAGATAATGGATTGAATATTAAACTAAATAAATTGTGTGGTGCGATAAATATTTTTACCAGAGTATTTTGTTATTTGTAAATCTAGTTCTTGTTGTGGTTCTCTGACTATTATTAAAAACATTGTCCTAGTCTAGCCTTTAATTTATAATTGTTTTTTAATTATTTATTACTGTTTAGAATGTTTTCCCCTTATTTTGAACTTTTAACAAAGTTAACTGACTGAGATGGTCATTGTATATTGTAATATTTCTGTAGATGCTAAATGTAAGCAGGAACTAATTATAAACGTATATAAAAATAGGAAACAATTCCAACATGAATGGTTTGTTTGAAATTATAAAGCACATCAAATTAACCATTTCAAAAGTTTACAGTTTTAGTTTTCTCTCTGTTAAAATAATTGTTAATATTTCTGATTGATGATTTGTGATGTGAGATGATAGCTATTAGGAATATAGTTCAATCCAGTTAAATATTAATCAGGTCTCATGCCTACTGTATCTTTCTATGTGCAGAAAACTGTACACTCATATCTCACTGGCATTCTCAACATGACACACAAGAATGGCACACTTATGCAGAAAATGTGAAATAATAAGTACAGTGTGGTGATTAGTGACCGTTAGTCGATGATTATTCGGAAATCGTGAGATACGGTCTGGTGTAATGTAGGTTTAAGAAAAACATTTTCTTTATCGTGCCAACGTTTCGATCTTTATTGGGATCATCTTCAGGGCCTGGGATTTACAAACAGTTAAAATTTAACAAATACATGCAGGACGTGGAAAAAGTGAATTTATACAATGCAAAAACTATTTTTTATATTCAATCAAAGTATTTCTACTCACTCAACGTGTTTGTTTCCTGTGTAAATACTTTGATTGAATATAAAAAATAGTTTTTGCATTGTATAAATTCCAATTATTTGTTAAATTCAAACAATGTTTCTATATCCCAGGCCCTTAAGATGATCCTAATGAAGATAGAAACATTCGTACGATAAAGAAAATGTTTTTCTGAAACCTACATCACACCAGACCGCATCTCACGATTTTTGAATAATCATCGACTAACGGTCACTAATCACCACACTGTACTATTTGTTTGATAATAAAGTTTTAAGATAAAAAGAAGGGGAAAAAAGTATAAGCTTTTTCAATTTTTAAATAAAGTTTTTGGGGGCGTCGGTGGCTGAAAGGTTTAGGCGTTGACAGGGTTCTCATCACTATAAGGTAAAGGTGGGTAAAATGATCTTTTTTTTCTTAAAACACCGGTACCCCGAGGGTACTTATAACCTTGTAGATGAAATACCGTTAAAAAATTTTTGTATGAAACTCACCATCTATGCTGTTGAAATGTTGTACAATATTTCGATATTGTTCCAAATGCTCGTCTTTTTTCTCGATTTGAGTTTTCAAATAGGAAATTTCATTTTGGTAAAACTTCACCTTGCTTTCCATCGAGGAAACCAATTTCTCTTTTGCCCTGAGTTTTTCCGCTGTTTTGGCGCCGACCTGAAAGCATAAATTTTACGAAATTATCGCCGAATTTGTAATTATTACGAACAGATCCAATACCTGTTTCCACTGTTCGAATTCATTGAGAATTTCTCTCAAATCCTCGTCCAACTCCATCTAGGGTTAAGCCTCGCGTATATGGCGCGGAAAAAAGGAAAGAAGACCAAGATTGAGCATCGCTGAAGCATCGTGATTTAAATTTTCCTATAAAGGGCGCAACGCGATAAAAAAAATTCATAAGTTTTATTTATCTTTTTAATTCAATTATTTTGTTATTTTATGATGATTGTTCGAAATTTGTTCTTCTTTCATTGAAATTAAATTTAAATGGGTGATAATCTAGAAGGCTATGGCTCAAATTTTGCGCCATTTTGATAACGGACATGTTCGATAATGCAACAAGTTATAATTAAAAGCTTAAATCAATACTTTTTGTCAATTTATTAAACGAACTCTTTTTTTGTTCATTAATTAAGTGTATTAGTAAAATTATTATTATCGGATTGTGAAACAGAACAACTTCACGGGAAATAAACAGGTCACCAGAAGAATAGCATAATACATTTCCTGGGTATGTAATCTTGTTTAAAAACTTATAATATTTACATCAATATTGTATAATTATTTTTTCCAATCAACATACTGTGAATCAAAAAAGGATTGGCACACTCAACTTTTTTTTAGGTTTCAGTTTTAAACAATCAAAAATTTATTTTTATTTCATAAAATATTTAGAAAAATACATAATTCAAAAAGAAAAATTGAAAATTTACATAATATTACCATTAAGTTTTTAAAAAATTGATTTTTGCCCAGTCAAAAAAAGATTGGTACACTCCGTTCATTACTGTAAAGTTTTTATGAACTGGATGCCATAAATATTTTGTCATCATACCATTCAATTAATTATACACAATTTTTTCAAAATGAAAAAATTGTGTCGGAGGTGGGATTTGAACCCACAAGTTTTGGCTAAATATGCCGTTCCTCTACCACTTGAGTTACCGAGACTTCAATAGCTCATGCTACAAACTTCTCATTTCGACTCCCCAATTATTCTAATTGAAAGCAAATTGCAGCTTCATATAGAAACACATTTTATTAACAATTGTACTACATTAGCAGGACTGTGTATGATTCACAGTTGTGGTTCTAGGTTAATACAACTTTTATTATTTTTTTATCAACTTATTCTTATTAATATATTTACTTAATTAATTATACACATTTTTTTAAATGAAAAAATTGTGTCGCAGGCAGGATTCGAACCCACGACTTTTGGCTAAATATGCCGCTCCTCTACCACTTGAGACTTCGATTGCCCATGCCACAAACTTCTCATTTCGACTCTCCCGTTTATTCCAATTATCAGCAAATCTGGCATCTATGACATCCTGTAGCCTCCATGGCATCCATGAAACAAGATTTTGCGTTACTTCTTGTCCAATTTGACATAATTTCTCAGATTAAGTTTTAACACATTTTTTGAAGAAATTCTATTTTTTCTAATTTTTAGGCCCAACAGATACCACAGATGTTCTATTGCATTTATGTCTGAAGACTGTGGTGGTGTTTTCAATTGCCTAAGACTGTTGTACAGCATCCTTTTGTTTTGTTTGCTGTGTGCTTGGGATCATTATCTTGTTGTAAGATTAAAATGTCCTTGATCCCCAGCTTTTCGGCACTACTTTTTAAATTATGCTGCAAAATGTCAACATATTTCTTGGCAATCATAATATTGTCTATAAAGCCTGTACCATTCTATGGCATGCATTCCCAAACTAGGACACTTCCAACTCTATGTTTTACACACATGGTATCACATGGCAAGCTTGAAACTCAATATTAGGTTTTCGTCAAATGTACTTGCATCCGTCAGATCCAAAAATGTTGAATTTACTTTCATCTAAAAAAACATCATTTTTCCAGAATTCTAGATCATGGCAAAGATAGGCTGAGTTTTAGTGTTGTTATTGTATCATTTTCAATCCTTATTTCTAATCTAGTGAAAGAAAATGGATATATTTGTTTTGACTGGAGCTAATAGTAAACATTTAAACTGTGCCAATACTTTTCTGACCCTTAAAATTTACCCTGTTATATTTACTTTTTTGATTCTTCAATTAATTATTTTTCAATTAATTCCAAACATTCATTGCTTCTAAAATCTAATTATAAAGGGCCAATTTTAAAATAAATATCTTAAGCCTATTGAGATTTGCAGAAAAATTGAGGTGTGTCAATACTTTTTGATTCATAGTGTGCTTTGCAGTTCACCCAGGCCATGAATATGACCCGAATAAAGGTCGAAATGGCAAAAAAAAATTAAAAATTTCTAAAATGCATGCTAATTCCTGACTGCTTCTCACTATTTCAATAAATTATTTAACAGTCGGTTGCTTAATAACACACGTTTGATTTTGTGTTTAAAAAACAAGAAAATTTAATGAACAGCTGATTTGAATTCACACTCTTAAATTTTGAATATGAAAGTTTAGTGCTAAATCTGTGATTTATCTTTAAAGTTCTTTTAATATGTATTCAGGGTGGCCATTGGTGGTTTAAGATAAAAGTCAGTTGTTCCACCCTAAGCGATAATTCCATAAACCAAAATAGACTGTGCTAGTGCAAAATAAACTGATTTCAATTATTTGTAGACATGAAATTTTTCAAAACTCAAAATTTATGAAAATGTTTGCTGATTCTACGAATAATTAAAATATGGAATTAAAAGTTATATTAGCCAAGTATTTTATTTTATTAGTAAGTACCAATAAGTCACATGAAAAATCATTGGAGTCTGAACATGTATGGAACGCAGTTTTAAGACCATTCTATTCAATTAATTTTCCTTCTAAAACAGAAAGGAAGTACAAATGTTTTGTACTTGTTAACCAAAAAATAATTATTCGAAACTCAAGAATGTATAATTTTTAGATCTTTGTTTATAACAGACAACACATTTTTTAAATCATCACCAGAAAAAATCATCAGCATAACTAAAAAGTTTAACAGATAAATCAAGTTGTAACAAAGTAGTTATACAAATTAGAAACAGAATGGGCTATTGTCCTTGTGCTATATCAGCAAAAATATTACATGGAGTATTAAGAAAAGAAGCAACACTCATAATTTGAGTTTGATTAGAAAAGTAAGAACTAAAAATTTTCATTGAAAGAAATACCAATATCAGGCATCTTTAGGAATTATAACTCATGATCAACTGATTCAAATATTTACTAATATCTAAAAAGACCCTGAAAACATAATTATTTCTATAAAGCGCTTTTATGAATATAATGATCAATATGATTCATGACATCAAACAAAGCCAACTCAGTTGATTTTACTCGTAAGAAGCCATATTTATTTTCTCCTTTTGTATTGTTATTTATTAAAAATCAAGTAACCTTTTCTTAATACATTCTAGTATCTTTGAAAATGACAAAGTTGAAGAAATTGATCTATAGTTATTGATGTCCAGTTTAGAACCATTTTTAAATATTGGAATGACTGATGCTTTTTAAATTTTGAAGGAAAAATTTTTAAAAATGAGAGTAAAATATGGGACAAAGAAGTGATTTTAAAAGATAAATTGTTCAAATTAAAGAATTTGCAAGGATGTCATGAAAGAAGGAATTATTAGGTCTCTAATCATTGATATATGACAGAATTTCATTTTTAGACACCGTTTAAGTTCAAAAATATGATTGTAGTGAAACCGATATTGAAAGCAGAATAATTACAATTTAAGTCCATAGTTACCTGATTTTTTTTTAGTACCAATTGTTGAAAAAAATAATTAAAAGAAGTGACATCTAGATCATTTAGAAATAAACAATTTTGTTATTTACATCATCTGAGATAATCTTATAACTTATAACTACACTATTAGTTCCTCATTAATATTACAAATTCCTGATATTTTTAAAATCATTTTTTAAATTAGTACTTTGTTCTTTGTAGAAAATAGATTTGGCATTTTTAACTACTTACGTTAATATGTTTCTATATTGCTGTGCTTATTAACTAAACAAAATTCTGAAGTGATTTTCTGTACATTTTATCCCTATTTCTAATCGAACTCAAAATACCTTTTGTCATCCAACTTTTCACCTTAACATTTTTTTCTTTACAATAACTTTAAAAGACTATGTTGTATGCAGTAGTTTAACAATTTATAAAATTCGTCCAAAGCTGAGTCAACTGAACTTTTTATTTCCAAAATTCTACGCCTAACTTTCAGCCTCAAGCAATTTATACAAAATTTCAAAATTAATCCTCTTTGATACTACGTCCTTTATTTTCCTATTAACAAAACTGGCTTACGTTTTATTTAAGCGACATTGAAAAATGGTCAGTAATGCATGTCTCGACATAAAATCTTTTAATCTCATCACAATAAAAACTCTTGACAAAGAGACCTTTGATTAATATCAAATTGAATCTTAAATTATACAACGAGCATCTGATTGGAAAGGCCTCTAAATCAAAGACAATGTTTCACTTCTAGCTTTCAAAATAGACTTTATGCTGCTAAAAAATCTGTTTTTAATTAAAATTATAATGAAAAAGAAATCATGGTTCTGTAGGGAAAATTGTCTGTGAATTTTGAAGTAGTTTTATTTTGTACTCACTCTATTTTAAAAAATTGGTGCCTTTTAAATCCGGAGCATTAGTTAACTTTTTTGTGGATGACTTTAGCTTCGAGCTTGGGAAGCTATCTGAGCAAATTGACATTTTCACAAATTGATAGTTGCCCCTTTTTGAACTCGGACATTAGTTATTTGCGGAAGTGGAAGTCTGGTTTACGAGAGGTTTTCAATTCCGCATCAATCATTTTGAAAGGATCCGTGTTAATCCAGATACCAAAAACACGAATCGGTTATCGATTTGTGGGAATAAGCCCGGCAACCGGGTCATGCTCGAGGGGCTCTTGTCCGGTTCTTTCGGAGAGAAGTGGGACACGCACTGCTATCTTGTCACAAGGATAATTGTTACCCTCGACGTCTAAGATTTATTTAAATCGTCTAGAGAATGCCGACTAACGTGCCAATTAAGCGTAAAGAAATTTCTCACCCTCATCGTCTGTAAAAGTACTTGTCAGGCCTGTGTGCTTTGTTAGACACAGTAAAACTAAGCTAAGTACAATTGTAATAAAAATATTACTGTATTTCTTATTAACAAAGGACTAAATGTAGACA